TTTTTTTTCTTTCTTTTTTTTCTTTCTTTTTTTTCTTTCTTTTTTTTCTTTCTTTTTTTTCTTTCTTTTTTTTCTTTCTTTTTTTTCTTTCTTTCTTTTTAAATCTGGTGTTTCTGATGGAACTTAAGATAGCATTTTTATTTCTCTACCAGCATTGTGTATGCTGTTCTTGATCTGTAAGTAATTTCATTAGCAAACTGCAGGAACTTGAATCTAGGGGATGGTGTTCAATGTTTTATGAGCCCTTGAAGATAGTACATTTTCCCCTTTGACTTCTGCTGACACACTGGTAAAACAGGGTCTGATAAGGCCAGTTTGAAAGCCTACACAAAATGTTGACAAGATGTACTTCTTGATCCTCAACAGCCTTCTAAGGAGAGAAGCTGAGTTCTGTCAAGGTGCAGTGCGCAGCAGCTCTCAGCTGGTAACTGCTGCCATGGGGTCATAGGGAAGGGAGTCTTTCCTTCCTCACGCAACAGAGTAAGGCTGGCTTTGTAGGGAGAAGAGGGCAGGCAAGAGCTATTGCAACAGATGACCAAAGTGTGTAAGAAATCAACTTGGAGAGATTGAACAAAAACACAGCTCATTAAAATGGGAGAAGCGAACATAAATGAGTGGCATAGCAATGTTTTCTTACCGGTGTGGGAAGTTGTTAAAAATTGCCAAATGTAGTTTGATCTGTGAGATTTAGTTGATCCTTTGGATAAAGTGGGATTGTTATAAACATTGTAGGGAAAGGCTTTAATAGCTGGGCTATGCTCAGCATGAATTTTGTGATTTTGTGTTACAGTGAAGGGCTTAACTTCTGTATTTCCTTCTTTTGTATTTCCCTTTTTTTTTTTTTTTTTTTTTTTTTTTTTTTTTTTAATTGAGGTACTGTTATCCTTTTTTTCCATTCTTTAAGTCCATATGCCCTTTGTTGAGATCACTTACTGTCTGTGCATCTTATCATTGCACTTTTTAAAGGACTTTTTTATTGCATTCTCTCTTAAACAGTCAGGTTTCTTGTTCCATTGCTATACAACATAATATTTCTCCTTCAGGATTTTGTGTATGTCATAGAGATTTCTAGGAACAAAGAACCACTGAGGCTAGTGATCAGGTGGGTTCTGTGAAACGTTTGAAGTCTCTGCTCAGTTCTTGATCTGACACTGTCATCTCATGATGATAAATCACTTATCCTCTCTGTGCTTTTCTTTATCTGTAAAATAGTACGCATGATAGCATTTCTTACATGGTTTAAACTGATAAAAGTAAATTAAATATAGCTACATTTGTACTTTTTTTTGTCATCAGGTTTCTGAATACATGGTTGCTGTTGCATAGTGGTAGTCTTAAGTACTCAGTTTTAGGTGAAACACATGAGAATTCTTTAATCCTCTTCAGGAAACACGGCTTAAAAATTTGCTTTTCAGTATTTTTATCAGGAGTAAGTGGAACTAAAATGGGAATAAGGCAATTCATATATTCAGTTCATAAAAGAAAAATTGTACGTCTGTAGAAACCCTGGAGTTTCAGTAAAGGACTCCTAAGTAAAGTGCCTAAAACAATTTGTGGTGGTTTTTTTTTCTCTGAGACATGTACAGTGTAGTTCAAAACTTCAAACTTCAAAAATCCAGTATTTCAGTAATCGAGTATTTCTGGATTATTTCTGTCCAATAGGATGCCAACAGCCAGAAAGCTGTATGATTTTTTTTATTTTATTTTTTTGTGATTGTTGTTATTGTTGTTCTGGTTTGTTTCCTGTATTGTATTATTTGTACATAAAACTAAAGTGCTGATGATCAGAAGGATAAAATGTTTCTTTAATCAAAATGCCCACTGAAAAATAATTTTACAATGTGAGACTTTTCTTGTTACTTAGTTTAAATCATTTAATGTATTAGAATATAAAATATCTTTTGAAGTTTTATGTGAAGACATAAAATTGGCTGATCCTCCAAGTTCGCTTGCACACTTATTTTTTTTTCCAGTGTAAGTTTAGTCAGAAGGATGTTTTGTTAAATGAATGCCAGAGATGAACGTTGAATTCTTGCATTGCACATGATCCATTTTATCTACCTTTGTGGATCCACACAAATCCATTTGGATCTTACTTATGGTTGTGATGTGAGGGGAGAAAGGGTATTCGGAACTCAGGAGTTCTGTTGGTTTGTTACTTTTGCAGTAATGTGTAACTGTTCTTTTTCCATGAGATTTAGTAATC